GGAGGCTTCACGTACAGCTGCTGTTCCTCAGACAGAGGGTGTGGTAATCAGGAGGCTGCTGTTGCTTGGATCTGCTGCGTTGATTTAAAAGCACAAAATACAACACAACAAGGCACAATGCACCAGGCACTGAACACAAATATATTCATGATATTAATAACCCCAAATAAAGGTGACCACCTGAGTTAAGAGAATTAAGGGATAAGGAAGAGAGAAGAGAAAAAGATAAAAGAGAAAAAAGAAAAGAAAAGAAAAAAAAGGAGTGCAAATATGAAATTTGGAAAAAGGAGAGAAAATAAAAAGAGAGAAAAGAGAGAATGAAGTAGAAGAGGGGAAGAAACTATTTATATGAGGAGAAACCTCATATAGAACCGCCACTAAGAAAAAGAAAAACAACCTCACAACCAATCCTAAAAAAACCCCCCACCAATATACTCAACAATCAAGCAAACAGCAATAAAACAATAGAAAGATAAAAGAAAAAAAAATTGGATAGTGAAGAAAGACAAGGGAGAGGTATATAAGGATTTAGAGCAGTGGATTGGAAATAGGATATATAAGTAGGGTGAAATTTTGACGGGGTAAAAAGAAGGAATAGGGAAAATCTAAAGCAGGAATAGGGTAAGAGAAACAGGACACCAAAAGGGGAAAAGTGAGGAAGAGGGTTTTAGCATAGAGGTAAAATTGAGGTAGGGAAAATTGATGTTAAAGGAACGATGAAAATAGAATGGAGAACACTACTCCCAAAATAAAATAAAGAGAAAATAAAATGACACTTTAAAGAATGGTAAAATGGTAGCAGTAATAATACTGGTTAAAAATAAAAATGTAGTAATTAAAAGGGTGAAATCAGGTGATAGAAAAAGAAAAAAAACTGGTTTCTTAGTTAAAAGGTGAAGAAAGAATTAAAAAAATAAATAAAAATTTGCAGTAGTGAAGGTCCTTTGGTTCTTCTACTCTTCAGTCTGGCTCGCCTTAATCCTGCCAGGTATTCAGGAGAATGTTGAATTTCCCTGCGATACACTGTTCCTCCCTGTTGTAAACCACAGTCCTGATTTTAAAGCAGGCCGTATTTGTGTCCCAGACTGCCTTAAGTTGTGTTTACCTAAGAGTCAGTTTGTGGCTCAGCCTCTGGGTGGCAGTGTTTCTGGATTGGCCTCCTAGGCTATACGGCCTCAAACTAGTTTTAACCATAATCCCATTTTTTAATTTTTTTATAACAAACACATTTTAATTGTTTCCTAATAATTCTTAAGTATATTACACGTTGTTCTCTGAAGCCTGTGGGAGGGCAAAGGAAACAAAGGATGGGCAAATTAGCTATAATTGGAAGTTATTAACTTGGTCATTTAAATTGCTAATCTGTTTCCAAGTAGGCTCATTTGTAGATATCTCATCTTTAGCTGCTGAAATTGCTGTTTTCTTTTTAAAATAAAACTTATGTGATTTAGAGTGACTCAGCACTCAATTCGCTGCCACCTCTCCTGGCCCCCCTTCTCTCCTCAGCCTCTCCCCAGATTCCACTTGTCCCCACCTTCTCCCTCTCTTCAGCACAGGTGATTGTCTGTATCCGAAATGTTCTATGAGCAGGGTTCAGTGAAGACAAACAAACAAACGCCGGCTGCAGAAACGGGGAAGGCTGAGTCTCTGTAAGCTCCTCTCTTACCGGCACTGCATGGTCTGGTCAGCGCTTCAGGCTGCCCCCTTTAGGCTCAGTCCTCCGTAATTACGGAACCCAGATCTCAAATCCCCCGGTGCCAACAACCCTGCGGATCTCCTTTCCCCAGTCAGGGGCTGTGTCTGTCACCCTCTGCCCCTCTGGGCTCAGAGGTCTGGCAAACTTTCCTGCCCAGATCCCTGGTTTTTACCTTTCCAGGGAACTCTGCCTTTCCCGGCCACAAACTGTCTCACCAGCTGAGTATACTTCACCAATTCGGGGTGGGTGTTATTAGTTTCAGCTGCTTACTCCATTTGCTCCGGGACAAGACCTGGGACGCGTCTGCCTATACCGCCGCCATCTTGAATCTCGAGTTACATGATTTTAATGACTTTACTGAGATATAATTCATATGCTATACAATTATTCATTTAAATATGTAATTTAATGGCTTTTAGTATATTCAGAGTTGTCCATACATCACCACATCCATTTTAGAGTAGTTTTATTACCCCTTAACCATCATCCTCTAACTTCCTCATCCCTCCAGCCATAGGCAATCACAAATTTATTTTCTTTCTCTATAAATTTGCCTATTTGCCTATTCCTTTATATAAAGGGAATCATACGATATTTGCTCCTTTGTGACAAGCTTCTTTCACTTAGCATAATATATTCAAGGTTCATCCACGTTGTAGCATGTATCAGTTCTTTATTTCTACAGAATTGATTTTTGAAAGGAAAAAGAACAGGAAAAGAAATAAAATCTGATCTTCTATATTAGTGTTAAAATTGAAATTGCCAATACAGAAATTGTTAACATGATTTTTACTTTTTAAATTTGAAGAGTTCTAAATATCTCTATGAAAGAGCTGTTATTTCAATTATTATAAAACAGCCATGGTAAATATACAAGAACATGTTCTTAGAATCTGCAAGAGATAATATTTAGCAAATTCGTGCGTTACACTTTTGTTTTTCTTGTCCACAAGGTAAAGAACCTTAATTATTACTAATAAGAAATGAAAATATTAATTGAGCTTAAATTTACTAATTTGAATCCTATTGAAATGTAAACACATTTTAGTTTAGCAGGAGTGTAATATATAACAGATAAGGAATCCAGAGGTTATAGTCAGAAAACTACAGACACAGCCCAACCCCTGCTTTATTTATCAATACTTACAGAGTAGAATTACTGTATCATGAGTTTTAATTTCTCAAAGTATGATACTAATTATAAATTTAGGAGCTGTTGTTCAAGTTCAGATTTAGAGTATATTTTAAATTAGGCAGAAATGATTATAAAAGACTGTTTTTATAATCACATAAAATCATGAGTCTCATTCAATTTTTTTCAAAGGCATGACCAAGGTCAAAGTGGGTAAAGAAGATTTATCATCCACTGAATTTGTAGAAAAACGAAGAGCAGCTCTTGAAAGGTAATTCTAGACGGTTCTGCTTTATTACACTCATGTTTTTGCTTCAGTAATATGTCTAATCCCACTATATGGTGTAACTTAGTTCAATTGTTAATTGATGACTCTTATCAAAAGTGCTTTAAACTTTATTAAGAAAATTGCTTCTTTGAACAATACTGCTTATTCTGCTTTTATTAAATAGACCTATTCTTGTATCATTGTTACAAGCAGCAATATGTAAAGGCATGAGTTAGTTGAGGATAGAATTATTATGTCATAGCTGTGGTCAACAAGAGAAGTAAGAAAAAAAGAATTCATGAATCTTTTGAAAGTGGGGAAAGGGTTAATAAAATTATTTGGATAAAAGTAATATCTCTTTAGTATTATTATATTTTTTAAAAAATATATTTTGATCTTTTACAGAGAGGAAGGGAGAGGGATAGAGTTAGAAACATCGATGAGAGAGAAACATCGACCAGCTGCCTCCTGCACACCCCCTACTGGGGATGTGCCCTCAACCAAGGTACATGCCCTTGACTGGAATCGAACCTGGGACCCTTCAGTCTGTAGGCCGACGCTCTATCCACTGAGCCAAACTGGCTAGGGCATTATTTATATTCTTAGGAAGTTATACTCACATTCATGTTCTGTGTTGGATAATTTGGCTAATTATAGTTCATCTAAATTTTTTGAATTATTACTGAATAAGATTATTAGATACACTGAATAATTAGGTTTTTCCTCCCTCCTTTAATTTTGTATAATTGATTTTGACTTGAGTGTACAAAAGTATGTGACTTCTTGAATTGACTGGATGTTTAAAGGCTAATATGCTCTACCTTCCTTTAAGTACTTGACTCAACACATTTCCTATAGCTTTGAAGACTTGTCATTATTGTGGCTGACTAAACGTGGAGTGGAGTGGAGTGGAGTGGATGGCAGGATTCCCACTTCGAGAATCTTAACATTTATTCTTTTCTTGCTATGTTGAAAATGTGATAAAACGATTTTGAAATTATCTTAAAACCCAAGTTTTAGAACCTAACTACACAACATTAAGTTAAAACATTTTCTAATTTCACAGGTTTTTTAAAATTTTCTTGGAATTTTTTTATTTCAGTTGAACTTGCTTATTTGTTCTTTGTTTTATTTTGTTTGGGCTTAAAATAAGTGGCTGGGGTGGCGGGGGTAGGAGAGATTTTAGTGAGTAGTATGTGTATTATCTCCAGGCCACAAATTATTTTTAAAAACTATTTTTAAGGCAACTTATTTCTGGGTTTTAATAATAAGTTATTTAAATTATAAGAAAATGCCACAGTAAAGTCAGGTTTGAACAATTGCTGTAAGAAAAGCTAAAGGATATGCTATTTAAAATCTTATATAAGACTTAAAAGATGAGATTATGTTTAGACCTACGGTCAAGATAGTAGCATAGGTAAACATGGTACTTGCTTCCACATCAAAATTGCAACTAAATTCAGAACCGCCTGAAATTCAGCTGAATGGAAGTTTTACATCTGGGGAATTAATAAAGAAACCAAATCAAGACTGATTGGAGGGACAGAGAGAAGAAAAGGGGTGATCCCACACCCATATGTGGCAGATAAAAATCAGGAGGGATATCTTGGCTATGGAGGTCACCCCTGAGGAATAAGGTGTTCTAGGTCCCCCAGCCCAGGGTTCCAGTGCAGGAAGAGAAGTCCCCATAAATTCTGGCTGTAAAATCCTCAGCGGGGATTGAAGCTGAGGGAGATAGGGTTGCTGGAGTCCCAGGCAGTTCTTAAAGGGTCTGCTCAGGTTCTAATTCTGGATTCACTCCCTCTAAGCTCCAGCATTGGGACAGCAGCTTGAAAGGTACCAGAGACATATGAAGAGGTACTGAAGTGTCGGACATCAGGGCAGGAGTTGGGGGTGAGGGGGCATTTCTCTCAGACAGAAGTGCTAGCAAAGGCCCTTGTTCCTTTTCTGAGCCCAACACAGCTGGCAGGCGGGCACGATATTGAGACTCCATCAACCTAGCTCACACTTTGCTTCACCCTGGTGATTCCCTCAGGCCCTGCCCCACCCAACTTTCAGGGCCACTGAAGCTGTTTCCTGTGGCTTTTAAATACACATGCCCTGTCTTGGCTCATGTTTCAGATTTTTCTAAAATCTCTCAAGCAGCATCTGGCCTCAGTGAGCCCTGTACCTCTCTCTCTAAGTGGTCTAGGCTTGGCACTAGCAGCAGCCAGCCTTGGTTCACAGCTTGGCCTTGTCTGAGAACCTCCAAGCCCATGACAACTAGCAGTCATCTGCAGATCACTTTGTAGCTCATGCCAGGTGGCCCTGGGCAGAACACTGACAGTGACTGACCTTGGCCTACACCTCCTAGGAGGCACTCAGTAGACAGCTTCAGACCATGTCAGGCACCACCACCCAACCATTTGCATAAGCTGCCGGAAGCCGGTCCATCCTTGCTGCTTGACACAGTTGCTGCAAGGAAGAAACATCTGCACAGCATATGTTTCAAGGGACCTGGCATATATGGCATACTGTTCTTAATATGTTTGCTCCCCTTCTTAGCGCTATGTGTTTTAACCAAGGTCACCTCTCCCGAGAAAGGTTGTTTCCCCAGGTGGGGATTTTTCCCTGGAGTTAGGGATTAACAGGACTAAGGAAGGGAATAAATCAATAAAACCCCTAACTAAGTGCCAGGCGGGTAGTTAATCACCTTAACTACGAACAATCACGCTTAAGCTACATAATCTTTACTTAGGATAATCTCCTTCAGTTACTTCCTTGTAGCTTACCAGAACAGTAGTGACCTTGGAATGGAGATAACAAACACCCTAACCTTTGAAATAGAATGGATAGGATTAAAATCAAATGGTATAAATACAGATGTAACAGGAGAATAAAGAGAGAACCTGGCGAGAGAACCTGGCTAGGCTGATCAACTGAACGCTGTCTCCATGTCATTCCTTCTTCGCCGGTTCCGTCCACACCTTTGGGAACCCCTGGACCTGCTGGGGCTGGACCCCAACAATAAGCCACACATTCAGGGGATTAGATTCAGCAGGTACCAGAGCCCTGCTAAAGTAAGTCCTACTCTGTGGGGTGGGCCCCCTTTACAACTGATCCTCCATGGTGATTAGAGGTTGGTGGTTAGTGGTCACAGCCAGTCCTTGCAGCTGATCAGCATGGGGGTAAATCCCTCCCATTAACATGCCAACAGCAACAAGGCTCGGCCACAAGGGTAGGGTGTATGCAGCCCAAAACGGGGGAGCGCATCTCAAGTACCCAGCTTGAGTGATTGGGAGGCTGTGCCCCTGGACCCTACAGGATACTTACTACATTAGGCCACTCTACCAAGCCTGGGAGATTTAGCAGCTCTACTTAATCATAGAAGGAAATATAGGTTGGCTATTATCAAAATGAGGAGAGAAAGAAACATATTCCAAATGAAAGAATAGAACAAAACTCCAGAAAAAGAACTAAACAAATTTGAGAAGCAATCTACTAGATGCAGAGTTCAAAACACTTGATATAAGGATGCTCAATAGACAGTGAGAACTTCAACAGCATAAAAAAGGAACAGTCAGAAATGAGGGCTACACTAACTGAAATGAAGAATAATTTACAGGGAATCAACAGTAGGGTAGATTAAGCCGAGAACCAAAGTGATTTGGAATGTAAGGAAGCAAAAAAACACCCAATCAGAACAGCAAAAAGAACCCCCAAAATGAGGATAGTGTAAGGAGCCTCTGGGACAACTTCAAGTATACCAACATTTATTTGCATCATGGGGTTGCCGGAAAGAAAAGAAAGAGAGCAAGAAATTGAAAACCTGTTTGACAAGATAATGATGAATAACTTCACTAACATGGTGAAGGAAATAGACATATAAGTCCAGCAAACAGAGAGTCCCAGGCAAGATGAATCCAAAGAGGCCACACACCAAGACACATCATAATTAAAATGGAAAGGTTAAAGTCAAAGAGAGAATCTTAAGAGCAGTTAGTTACCTACAAGGGAGCTCCCAGAAGACTGTCAGCTGATTTCCCAACAGAAATTTTGCAGGCCTGAAGGGATTGGCAACAAATATTCAAAGTGATGAAAGGCAAGGACCTACAACCAAGATTACCCAGCAAAGCTATCATTTAGAATTGAAAGAAAGATAAAGCGCTTCCCAGACAAGAAAATGCAAAAGGAGTTCATTACCACTAGACCAGTATTATATGAAATGTTAAAGGCTCTTCTCTAAAGAAGAAGGAAAAAAAAGATTTAAAATATGAACAACAAAGTGGCAATAAATACATACTTATCAACAAATCTAAAAAACAAAACAAAATAAATGCACAAGCAGAACAGAAACAGACTCATACAGATACAGAGAACATTTTAATGGTTGCCAGATGAGGAGTCTAGGGAAGATGAGTGAAAAAGATGAAGAGAAAAAAGAAGTACAAATTGGTCATTACAGAACAGTCATGGGGATGTAAAGTACAGCTTAGGGAATACAGTCAATAATAACTATGCATGTTTTCTGATGGGTATGAAATTAATTGGGATGATCACTTAGTAAGTTATATTATACCTAATCATTGGGGTGTACATCTGAAACTAACATAATAATGTATGTCAACTTTAATTGCAAATTTAAAAAATGCAAAAAAAAGGTGAGATTATGTCTGTGACAATCAATTACTCAGGAAAGGATTTAAATCGCTTCAAGAGATGTTTAGGTTAGGCATTAGAATTGTTTCTGTTATGAAAGATGTCATAGGCTGAATTTTTTTAAGATTAAAGGTAGATACTGCTCTACCTTATTTTTGCTTAGTCCCTGGAAGTATAACCATGACCCTTTGAGAAATCTTTCAAGTCCTATTTTTCTATGAGTAAATTTGAAATATTTCAGATGGCATGCTTGATAAGGAACTTAATGAAGATTTATTGTACCAAGCTCATATAATTTGATTCTACATTCACCTTTCTTGTAACTTGAATGCATTCAGCAGTATGAAACATTGAGGAGAGTTTTA